TTGATTGTGAATTGGAGAAATGGGAATGTGTAGTGATGTATATGAAGGAGTTGAGTAGAGAACCTTGCTGTTGTAGGTATCTGTATCACGTGGACTTGTTATCCAATGAACGTGACAGCTAGTCACGAGTTGTGCCTTCCAGTCACTTGATAGTAAACAGTTTTCTGGCTGACAGAGGCACAAACGCGTATACGCAGTCATAATAATTGGTTGTCAACTTAGAATACAAGCGTACACATTCGGTGTTATTTACATCGTTGGAATTAAACCTCAGTGAAGTAAAAGCCATGATGTGCAGGTGTTCAATAGATGCAGTCGATTCTATGTAGTCTTATTTAGACAGGTTTTCCATTGAACCGATATCAGCAATGATGAGTTCCTATTTAGTTAGTGAATATGGACTAGGTGCAATTAGTGAGGTGTGTTGAGTGTAGTAAGCTCTGTAGGCAAATCACACAAGGTGAGTAGGGTTCCACCAACTACATACGATAAAAAGACCTGTCCACTGGTCATTGTTTCAGGATAAGGTGATCACATAATTTGTAAAGGGATATTTCATGTGACTGAGGGTGAAGCATAACAACCTACTTTTATCTTTATTTTATGGTCATTGTGTGAAGGCTTTACAGAAACTTTCAGTAATGTATTTTAAGGTTAATGGGGTCATTGATCTTAAGTATTCTTCATGGACTGACATTAATTGGGTAGTCATTGAAAACTTGAAAGTAATGGACAGCTGCTTCGTCCTAGTATGGAACTCCTCACCATTACGCACCCACGACCTGACTAAGGATAGAACTCAGGATCTTCAGATTTCACAGGGAACGCGTTGACCATTAAGTCACTGGGCCGGAGTTCAATTGTCCACAGTTTTTTACCCCTGCCACTTCATGATATAACGCCATTATCATCGTGGGTGCGTACTACTGAAGAGTGTCATACTAGGACGAAACAGTTGTCTAGTGCTCCCATATTTTCAGTGGTTTTCCAACTAATATCAGTCCATGAAGAATGCTACCCTAGAGACTTTCTGCTTTTGAAACTTTATATGCTCCGTATGGGTGGAATAACGGTAATCATTATGAGATGGTTACATACAAATTTATGTAATTGAAAGCTTGTCCACTTGTGAAGATAGTGTTCTTTTTTCAACCTTGAGGATAGTCAAATGAAGTTGCAATATGTTCATCAGCATCTTCAATTGTGGTGAATCTCTATATGAAACCTTTGAAAAAGAGAACATTAAGAAGTGTCCAATCTCAACGTAGAATTTGGTATAGATATGTGAATGGATGATACATTTGTCATTCTTAAGAAAGTAAACTAACACATTTCAATACATATTTTAACTTGCAATCAGATCATTCAACAAGTATAAAAGCTACTGGTGCATTGAACTTACTAAACAGGATTAAAAAAACGTCATAACCTATCCTAATGATTTAGAAAATGAAACATTTTTTTTTAATGGGAAATGGATATCCTGAAAAGTTCCTGAACAACATATTCAGTTAGGTGAATAAAACAGTAAGTATTACTTCGACTAGTAATAAGGGTACAACAAAATCATGGTTATCATCTATGACGATACCGTATTGTAAAGGTACTTCGGAACAGATTAAAAGACAATGTGCTTTGTATGGTATTAAAGTTTATTTTAAACCTTTAAATTCATTAGAAAAGATCTTAGTCAAAGTGAAAGATACAATTCCTAAGGTGATACTGAACAACTATGCCTATAAAATTAAATCTTTGGAATGTGAAACTAATTATGTTGGAGAAAGTTATTGATCCTTTAAAGTTAAGGTAAATGAAGACAAGTTATGTAAAGAATATTCTCTAAGGAATCAAGATGAAATTTTTAAAAATTCAACACAATATCAATGGGTGTAATCGAAGGTGGACACATGAATAACTTTAAGAATGTAGACATATTGGAAAAAGGATTCCATTCGCATAAAGAAAGATTAACTTACAAAACCCTGGATAAGAATAGATATATCACCTATTTGGCAAACATTAATCTGACAAAATCATTAATGATAACGTTTTCTAACTGAAGCTACAATAACAATGATAATTATTGATGGTTTATAAATGAAAGTACAAGAAACAACACGTATTCTATGACACGCATAAACACATACACTTTGACTATCCTACATATTCTTCTACAAACAACAATAACAAGCGTGAACTTGTAATGACTAATCTTAATTAATACTGAGTGATTGGATTTGAACCAGTAACCACCCAGTTTCACTAACGGTACTCTACCAACTGGGTTACAAGACCCAACCACTGACCAGATTTTCATTTCACTTCAATCACCAAGGGTTTTGCCCGACTACCATGAAGTGAAATAGAAAATTTGGTCATAAGTCGAGTCTTGTAGCTTAGGCTGGAAACCCAGCGGTCTCTGCTTCGAATCCCGCTGTGGTTCAAATTTTCATTTCACCTTCAATCCTCATCGAACATTAATACTAGTCTCCCAAACCACAGCTATCTTAGATAGTCAAAAGATAATCTTAATTAATCAGGTTGGAGAGAAAAACCATCCAACTGATGACCTACGTTCACTAGATATTTGATGAATCATTCGACGATATATTTTGATACTTAATCAAAAAAATTCGCATATTCTACTGAAGAAGCTGTGGCTTACACAGTGAAACGTTCAGAAATATCTTGTTTTGATTTTCTAAACACGTTGAGATTATATTAAAATATCTTCTTATGATGATTCAATAGGACTCAGTGCTCAACCTCTTCCAGGACATTCGTAACAATTATGGTCTAGATGTTAATAATCTTATGCGAGTATTGTCTTAAATCTGCATTTTATCATTCAACAAATTATTTATCCAACATTCTTTCAGCCTATTTTCTACAGAATTTAACACTTCTTATTTAGTAGTATATGGAAAACTCTGGAGAACTCTATTCATTCTGTGACTGACAGTAATAGATAAGGTCTTCAGGCCGTTAGTAACACTGCTACTTTGTTTAACTTTCAGCCAAGATTTAAAGGAATTCGGAGTGTATAACTTTATTCAAACTATGTTTCACCTGTAAATTAATATCATCCTTACAGTATGTTATTTCTTTATTCATTTCTAAGGTATACAACTAAATGGATTCAATCAAATACTGTTACAGGGATAGGGGTAGTGACACTGACAAGTACTGGATCTTTCAGTTTACGAAATAAACGAAGATCTCATAGTATCATGAAAGCACAATAAGATAATTTAAAGAAAGTATTGCATGTACGGTAGTACAAATATTCTATTATTCTTACGAAATACTTGAAGTACAGAGGGATCTGAAGTCAGTGTGACCAAAACAGGACTGCTTCATAGTGGTTTCACTATGATCATCTGTTAAAAAGGTGGAAAATGGTGAAACATAGACGGCTGTCTTTCCATGTTTAAATACCAGCTAACATATTATGGAGACCTAAGCCTTGGTAAATGATCAAGTATGTGAAACAGTTTCAACCTGCTCATGAAAAGCTACTCTTTATCATGTCACATATATGACTTCATGACAAGGTAATTATTCAATATCAACTTGAGTAGCTAATGACAAAAGAGGGCTTCAGGTGTTTGGCTACCTCTTTCCTTGTAGCATGGGTCGTGTTTCATGGTGTCGCTACGCGAGTAACGCAGAAGTTGGAGGTAGATTTTAGGCAGGAGAGGTAAGACAGTTGATGCGGTTGGGAACCTTCATCGACTAAGATAGCTGGGACATGTATTACTTATGTCTAAGCATCGTCTATCTTGTCGCACAATGTTGACCGAAGTAAGTTCAGCCTAGAATAAGGTTCGAGGTGGATAGACTAAAACATGATGTCACTGCATGAAGTCCTTGTCTGTTGGTATGAGCCATATAGGGCGATGTGGACTAGCCGGTTGGGTCCACGGAACAAGAGAAACCAGTGGTTGGAGACTAACTCTGGGTGATATGGCTCAGAACCGATGCTAGTGGTGCAGATGCACATACACATCACCACCTTAACCGCTATACTTAATCTCATCTTCTCTGTCTTCCTCCCTCTCTTTTACTACTTCCTACTTCTATTCCTCTTATCGATTTTTTCCCTTCTTTATCTTCCATTTTACTGCCTTGGTGCTTGATGTGTTGATATAAGGTGTGGCAACTTGAAACGTTACGCAGTAATGCCTGGCCCTATGTTGGTCTTGATGATGATGATAGTTTCCAGTAGGGATTACCTACAACATGAATCAAGTTGTTTAACAGTACATCAACAAACGAGAGCCAATTAAAACTGATTATTAAACTTTTTTTCTCAAACTTTGACGGAAAAATTTATTTTTTAGTAGATAAATCACGCCTGTATTGCATTGTGGGCATTGCTTGTCCTGTTTTTTTTCAATTATTGGATAACAACACGTTTTCTCATCAAACTACGGTATCTGAAAAATAATTATCCCAACAACTAAGTAAGCATAAACTAAAGCGTTTGCAAACGTACTGGAATTAGTTGTTCAGACCGAACGAAATATGTCAAAAACATTTACAAATAAAACAAAATTCTTAAGTCTATCTACAGATCAAATAAATTTCATTTTCTGTAAAAAGTGAAGGGAACTGTCATACGAGAGAAGGACTACTACGTTGAAGTTGAACTCATAACTTTACGGAATACATGACATGATACTGTATAACAAGGCACATCAGTAGTAAATCTAACGTCTATTTCTACGTCAGTCGATCGCTGAACCAATAAGGATGAAGGCCAAACAAACGTCGGCCTTGATAATCTGAAGGTGATTTGTTAATGCCAGATAAATTTAAAAAACGTGTAGGTGTAAATTGGTATGTGTCTCTTTCTCCTTATTGGACTACAAATCCGAGCGATAGCCAGACGCATATGATATATATTTGAAAGCTCTCAAGATTTCGCTTATTGTCGCTTAATCTGTTGCCCACATAAGCGCTGGATTTCTCGCTTTTGTCACGACGGTTGCTTCAATATGTCGACGAATCAGCACCAAAAAAAATCAGTGGACATTCCAGTGCATAAGGAGTCTAGAACTTTTGAACAGCATAGACGTGAAATGCTGACGGGACTACAACACAGACATAAAGGAGGAAAACGACCAAAACTTGGAATTTCACTGCATCATGACAGGTGGTCAGACGTCGTAGATAATTGGGTTGATTCATCCTGGAGAAGTTGGGATGATGAGATAAGGAGGCTGAAGTGTGGAATGTTCGCACTTTTGGTAAGTCGGTCGGGAAAATAAACTGTGCTTTATGAGAACGATCTTCACAAACAGTATATTTTTTCCCAATAACTTTCGGTTTTGTTTACAATGGTATTTACTACGATAGCATTATTTGACTTTGTCTTCTATTCTGACGCCATTAGTCACGAAACTTGATTAATCTTTGGGTCTAATGTGTAGAGAAAGGAAATCCGAATCCTCTTGTTTTGCTTTTCATTCCAGCCTCTTGATACTTTCGGTCTTAAGGACGCTTTCCCAGATCCCTTTGACTTGATGAATCAAATGGAACTTGAAGTTGAAGAGATTCGGAATCGCATAGGCATGAACAAGGCACCAGTAACAGGTTCTCTAACAGATTTTCTGAAGGACGCTTATGAGGTCGGGGAAGACGCGAAGGTGAGTGATTTCGGTTGAAAATTACTTCAGTCTAAATAATTGCTATGGGATTGTAGGACAGTTAGTATGCACTGAATATAACTTCATTGTCACTGTGATCAAGATAATTGTTGTTGTATTTTGTTTGCTCATTACAGCTTCATTTCAAAGTGCGTTTCGATGCAAAGGGTTTCGAGCCTGAAAACATTAAGGTCAACTCAACAGAGAATCGTGTGACAGTGTATGCCAAAAAGGTGTCAGAATCCGGTTCTTCAAAGTCATCTCGTGAATTCTGTCGTATGATTGAACTTCCTCGCACCATTGACCCCTCTCACATGCGATGTCGTCTCACAGATGTGAGTAACTGCATTGCATACCTTTCCATTTTTCTATATCCTAATTATCTACGATACACTTAGACTTAGATAAGGAGATGCTATACGTAGTCTGTGCATACCAATTCCGTTCATTCCTGTAGAGTACAGGTTAATGATTTTTACTTTGTTTGATCTAGGATGGTGTTTTGATGCTTGAGGCTCCAGTGAAATCTCCAGATTACGAGTCGATAACGTTTACAGATAATCGTCAACTTGGAATTCACCCAAAATCGACTGACCAGGTTCAGTCGGTCCCGTCATCGAAGACACTTGCTGTGAAAGGTGAGTGTAATTACCACCCAGTGTAGGAACGTTTCCGGTTTGCTGGTTATTTAAGCATTTTGTTAAGGGGTGAGAATTATTTCTTGGCTGTATTTACCCGTTTTGTCTAATCAAATGATTGAAATTTCTTATTTGTGTTCTTAGGTGTATTTGGCCCAATGATTTGGGAGGATGAAGCAAACGGGAAATATCTACATGTAGAAGTACCGGTGGATTCTGTGTATAAGCCTGAAGATTTGTGTGTAAATGTAGATTCCAACCGCGTTGTTGTATCTGGAAGAACGTATGAAGCAGATGACGACTGTTCTAACAAAAAAAGGAATAGGAGTTCGCATGCAGAGTTCACTCACTCATACGAAATCCCAGAGACAATTGACCCTTTATCAGTGTCAGCACAGTTACTGGGTAATAGATTGGTGTTGGAGGCCCCCTTGGTAAAACAACAAACAGTTCGTAATTAGTCCGTTTCGTACAAACGCAAGCTTTTTATCAGTCATCAATCCGCTTGAAGTATTTCAAATGAATTACTACTCTGCCTATATATTTGACACTTTTCTACGTAACACAATCGTGTAAACAATGTTGTTGGTAATAAACGAAATATATTGTTGTTAATTCTGGTCGTTATACAAAACACAACGGGGAAAGTTCATATCTGAAGAATTTTTCGAACCTAGTGACAGCAAGGCATAGTTTCACGTTGACAGTATAGTTGAAGGGTGATACCTTTGCGCTATGCTAGTGTCCGTACAGCTGGGAGACGCTGCTTTGGATTCTAATACAGTCCAGATTGCTTTTGATTTCAGTTAACATTGCATATTATAAGGCTGTTTTTATTGAAATGATTCTACTATGAGACAATAAAAATGCAGCATTCATTAGTGTAGCAGTATCAGTTACCGGTGACTGGACAGAAACCGGTTTTAATTCACATAGCGGACCAGTTAACTAGCAAAATTATTCATGCTTCGTTGGCAGCTTCACTCAGGAAGTGTATATGGTCAACTTCGAATCATAGAGTATCCTAAGAAATGGAAGCAAATACTATCCAGTTGTTTTTGTGCTACTTACCTCATGGTGGTAGGTACATGCATGGAGGTACTAAATCGGAGTTAAACTGAAATAGTGCTCCCATAATGTTAGGATGTGGCCACTGTGATAGAGTATAATTCCATATTAGGCTGTTTATTTGTTATCGCACACAGTGACAGTATAATTTACTGGATGACGTTCCGAGTAGAATTTATTGCTTTTATATTCATATCAAAGTGTTCATACAACTTTCAAACTTTACATGTCCAGTAGTTGTTCATTCTTTTAGCTTAATGGTAGTAAAATTTTCTACATATCTGCAACGTGTGATGATCCATTCTTGTTATACATGTTGAATGTTGATTCAACGAACAAGGATTCTGTGACCAGTCTCTCCCTCCACTTAGCTATATTAGATTTTAGAATTGTCACCCTATAGTGTGAATATGGATCATTGCATGCAGAGCGGTAGCCGAGTTTTTCTCTAAATTACTTATCTTACTGGGGTCTGTCAATGTATGTTTCGTTAGATTTTTATGTTCTAGTATTCTGACTGACCCAGCTCGTCTGCTTTGACCTATGCACCTGACTTCGCAATCACCGCATAGTATTTGATAGATTAGGTTGTTTTTCTTAATTGGATCTACTAGATCTTTTAGCCCACAAAGTTTCTCTCTGAGTTAGTTTGTGGGTTTAAATGCCACGCTAATCCCAGCATTGTTAAGAATCTTATGTAAAATTTTCAACGTGCATTCTTCATATGGTAGCACTACAGAGGATTTGAGTTCCCTCTTAGGAATGTTTCAAGCACCACTCCTCTCATCAGTCTTGATGAACTTTCTAATAAATTCCGAAGTGTAGTTATTAAGAATTAGTGTCTCTTCGATGTGTTTCCCTTATTTAAGTTTTCTGGCTTACTAGTCAAACTCCTATCCCGATTACTTAGCCATTTTATCAAGCCCACGTTGAGAGATATGGGGTGAGATGATATAAAATCCAAGTATCTATTTGAATGTGTTGGCTTCCTATGGACACCGGTATCTAAGCTTTCATCTTCTCTTGATTATACAGTGCAACACAGGTAATTCTTCACTTTCTGGTTCAAAAGTGAATTGGATTCAATCTACTGTTGATTTAAAGTGTGCAAAAAAACTCTGGATATGTTCTGATTTTAACACAGCAAACGTATCGCCATTAGACTTCCTGAGTGGGTTGTAATGTTCTTAATGCCATTTGTTCCTAACTGTTGATCAGGAATATTGAACATCTAGCCGCTCATATAACTTTTTGTTCAGTTATTGAACTGGTTCTGCTAATATTATTACAACCACTAGAAGTATTGCTGTATGGCTAATCTCAAAAGCTTTTTATTGACTTCTCATTTGTATCTGTATTGTTTATGATACAAAAATAACTCAGCTAAAGAAAATCGATTATTGTATGTAACTTATTTTGCCATCCATTTTTAACACTAAATGGTCAGACTAGGCGTGTAGGCGATGACGGACAAATAACAAGGTCAGTCAATAGAGGTTGGAAAGGCCAATCAATCGCTACTGGTCTGTATGTGAGATAGGCATGCAAGTTCTATTTTTACATGGAATGAATCACGTGCTCAGTCAGAAGTACAAGTGAAAATCACGTGATACGAAAATATCAGCCCCAAATAATAGAATGCAATGAAAAGACAGACCAGGGAATGTTTGCATCGATTGAAATACAAGCACTTAAAAGTGTTAACTTATATTGCTCCCCTTTACTTCAGGTTTAAAATCGAGATATAAATAACCAATTATTATTTATAACTGTGGAATCTGTTGCGAAGTTATTGAAAAGAATGTTCTTCGTTCGTATTTGACTTCTGATTATTTGAAACTGAGGTTGTGTTTCAAGATCATACAGCGAAAAAGTTGAAAATTACAATGTCTCAGGCGTTTGTTTCCTTCTTGATAATGTGTTACTTTCCTGACTGAGAATTCGGATACTGTGAAACTATCAAACCTTAGACAAAATGCTTTCATAATGTAGAAATGATAAAATAGAAATTGTTTTATTCATGAAGTTGCATTAGAAATATGACTCATATAATTGGTTGAGTTAATCTTAGCCACAAGTAAACTTAGCCTTGTTAGTTTAAGACTTTACTGAACTAGAATTATACGTGTTCGGAGGAGAATCGAAAACTAAAGACATACAACTTGTATAAACATGCTGTCTACCATCCATTGAAGAAGCTTACCTAAAGTAACTTCTTTATGGTAAGTAATCACCGATGGAACTAGATGACGGTCGCATTGTATCGTGAATTGACAGAAGTAGAAAAATCTGGATCGTTGGATCTTGACCTAATGTCTAGTTGGCAACAGTTTCACCTCGAAACCTGACTGTTCTGGGTTCGATACCTGGAGGGATCATGGGAGCACATTGCTGGGGAGTCCAATACTAGGATGGAGCACCTGTCCAGCGCTCCGTGGTTCTCAATGGCTCTCTAAATGATTTCAGTCCGTGATGAGTACGACCTTGAAGAAAATTTTTAAGTTTGCTCTAGTGTTGCAGTTAATTTCTGAGCTTAAATCTTCCTTTGTACATAATTTGATGTTAGCTTAAGCCTCTTCCACGTGAAAGTAGCACTTAAGATTATGCTTAGACTGATGTCCAAATCTGCTTTAAGGAATCTGCAAGCTTGGAGAGCAAAAAACTACAAGACTCACTACATGGCGAATAAATCTTCATGTGTACGTGTTCAAATGTAGTCGTAGTAACTGAAAGTCGTCGTTTTAGCGCTCAAACAACAAGGTATCCTTCAAGTTGTCTCTTTAGTTATTGAATATTAGACATCGCACATGGCATCAACCATCCTTTTTACAATCACTAGCCTAGTAACCAATTAGATCTCTTAGAATTTTCGCTGGTTTTAACAAAGGTTTGGGCGGTAATGATCCACTGACATTAGAAATACCTTCTGACTCCTGCAATATTTATTTTCGTTATCTATTAGACTATATATTATCGATTTCAAACAGCTGTATACTTTATCCAGAACAATAGAATTGTAAATAAGCAATAATATAACTTAACTCAGTCCAGGTTTGTGCACTACGCTGTGAGTTACATCATTTGTATGACGGCTACCAAACCACCTGGCAGCCCGCGGCAAGATCACTTTAGGGGGGGGGTATGCATACTGGACTCATTGTTTGAAAGTCAAGTGGTCAGGGCTCTGGTTGATTTAGATTTCTCGCTTGTTTTACTCATCAGTAAGGCATATCTGCAACCTCAAAAGACTGTTATCCCCTAAGATATTTGAGCTCGCATCACCTAATGCTGCAGTCAGAGACTGAGATAGGATGTAAAATCTCAGTGGAAGAGTCTCTGACTGCATCACTTGGTGATAAGTGTTCGAATTTCTTAGTGGAAATCGATTTCCTTGAGTTTGCAGATACTCCTTGCTGACGAGTACCAACAAGCACGAAAACTAGGTCAAACAATACTTCTTGCCAGTTGCCTCCAACCACTTTACATCGGTGCAAATTTATTTTTGGAGAGTTTTACTTCAATTAATGGTCCATCTCCAATTTCCAGGTTGGGCATCGTCTGCTTGGACGTTATTGTTACTTAACCTGGGGGATCGGTCCTCTCACTGACCAGGAGACGTCTTCAGAAACTCAGCCATATGAAAACGAACACTCCTGCCAAAGCGCTCTGTAAACGTTTCCACAAAACTGACCAGTAAATCTCTTCCTCGCGATTATCAGGCTTCGATGTGTCCGATTTCGCCGGGTAATCGGCTCGCTCACACTACTCATTTCCTCGTGGGTAGACATGCATGGAATAAGTTTCACTGATTAACCGCCATCTTACAGAAACTGCTGCACCACAACTCCCTGGAAGCTGACAACCTCCTCTCATCGAAATTTCAGAAGAAGCGGCTCCTTCCAGGTTGCCTGAAAAATAGACTTTGGCCACAGCGAACGGTATCCAGCATTCCGTACCGAATACCACTTAGCCTTTGTAAGGTAAATCACAATACTTGTCTTGGAACTGCATCAACAGTGATGACTACCAGGATTAGGAAGCTGGATTCCCTAACCTTTTATCGGTGCAGTACTCCCAGAACATTGGGTCCAGTCCTGACAGTCAGTCACTGATCATATCATATGGGCCTTGTCCACAGCTATTACCGTTATGTCAACTATGACGGTGTATTGGTTAGAATCCGGTTGGGTTACGAGATACTTAACGTCATTGCGTAACTAGACTTGACGAGTATTCACCAGTACACCAGTATCCAGTTGTCTTGGCAACCAGCTCAAACAGTCACACCACTTTATCAAGCCGTGTGTGCTTCTTCACGTTAACGCTCTAATATGTCGTCATAAGGGAGTCGTAGTTACTGCACATC